CCGGTACCAAAAACAAAAAACAAACAAACAAAAAAAGAAGATTAGTTCTCACAATTCTGTGAGTTGACTGAGACCCAGGGCTGACTTGGCTTGGGCCAGCTGGTCTAGGATGGCCTCAGTCAAATGTCTGGAGCCTCAGCAGTACCTTCTATAAGAGGCTACCTGGGTTATTTACATAATGCAAAGCCTCCCAGAAGCAAGAGGATGCACAAATGCCTGTCCCTTTGGTCAGAACAAGTCACATGGCCCAGCCCGGATTCAAGGCGGAGGGATAGACTTGTTTGCAGAACGGACTTGTCTAGCCAGGGTCTGACCCAAGCCAGCCCTCAGAATGAGGCTGACATTTTATGTGTGGGCCAGAGTAAGTCCCATGCTACATGCACATGCCCCAGAATTGAAATCTTATTTCCATTGGTAGAATGGGGGTGGCAGGGGCAATATTACTCAGAAATATCAATCCTGAGCCTATGGAACTGACCAGAATGAATAGTTCCTGTATCTGCTTTTGTTTCTCTCCCTTTATCTGTGGCCTAAACTCAGTCCTGTTTTTCTCCCACCTCCTCCCTGACGTCTGTGACTCATTCCTTGTGACAGCTCTTTGTGTCTCCCACAGCCTTAAGGGAATGTGGTTGGGTTCGCAGGAGGAGGTTGGGCTGGGCACAGGCGGCCTTGCAGCCTCAGCCGGCTTCCGCTCTCACAGGTCCTCATTCCCTGCCTCTAGGGTGCAGGGTTGTGTGCACAACTCTGAGGCCTGTATGGCCCTGTCCCAGTTACAGGAAGGTGGCCAGGCTGGCAGGTGACAGAATAATCTGTCCCTTGGACGTAGGCCTGGCCTCTCTGGGGAGAAGAATGCTCAGGGTAGGTGTAATAGATGGTAGGTGTAATAAAACATGACGCCAGGTCTTCACACACTCACTATGCAGCCCAGGCTGGCCTTGAACTTACGTCAATCCTCCTGCCTCAGCCTTCTGAGTGCTGGGATTACAGGTATGCACTACTATGCCTGGATTTATTTTTAATTTTTTTCTCCTCCTCTCCCTCCTCCTTCTTCTCCTCCTTCCAGGGATACTGGGAATTGAACCCAGGGTTTCCTGAGACCTTTACTATCTTTTATTTTGAGACATAGTCTTGCTAAGTTGCCCAGGCTGGACTTGAATTTGTGACCCTCCTGCCTTAGCCTCCCAGAGTGCTGAGATTACAGGCATCTGCCACCACATCCAACCATGTAACAAACATAACAACAGCAGGGCCCTGCCTGTTTCCTTCATCCACTTTCTGCTTTCCACACACAGGACTCAATGTTAAAAAGCTATCTATCTATCTATCTATCCATCCATCCATCATCTTCTCAGTGACATCTCTTACCACAACTTCATTCAAGCCCTTATCTGTTAACTCCCCACCAGGGAAGACTTAGCTCTTTGTCACCCCACCCCTTCCCATGCACCTGCCCTCTCCTTGACCCTGGTCCTCCCAGTATCCTGAAGTCATAACTCGGTGGAAATTAATATTCATTTTAAAGTTGTTTCTATGACTTTGAAGGCCTCGTCACCGCTGAACTATGAAGATCACTTTGCCCACACCAAGTTTTCCACACAAGTGTTCCCTCATGAGCTTCTCAATGATGTAAGAAGCCCAGGGGTGGGATGGGAGAGGCCTGGTATTTCTAGTCTTCACTCACCCCGTCTGGGAGAGAGCTAGAAGAGAGAAAGACAGAATGAGACAGAGAGAGAGAGAGAGAGACAGAGGCAGGGTCTGGGCCCTCCATGGATTAGGGAAGGCCACTGTCTTTTTTTTTTTTTGGTACCAGGGAACGAACTCGAGACTTTCCGCTTTCAAAGCAGGTGGCGGAACCACTGAGCTAAATCCCTGGCCCAAGAAGGCCACTATCTTGGGGGCAGAGGCTCACAGAGTTTCTCTTATATGAGAATATATATCTTCTTCTTCTTCTTTTTTTCTTTTTTCGGTACTGGAGATCAAACACAGGACCTTGTGCTTTTGAGGCAGACATGGCACCACTGAGCTAAATACCCAGCCCCGAGAATATATATCTTATATGAGAAATATATATTTCCGGTTGTAGTTCAGGCTGGCTTTAACTCACTGTGTAACCCAGGCTGGTCTTGTCCTCATGGCTATCCTCTGCCTCAGCTTCCCGAGTCCTGGGACCTCAGGCGTGTGCCACCACGCCTGGCTATATATACTATATATATTTTGCAGCTATATGGAGAGCAACATAGAAGATAAATAGGACGTAGGGAGAAGGGCAAATAACTGCACAAATTATCTATTGCGTTGTTTCAAAATATTTTAATATATCATAATTTGTTTCATTTATATTACTAGTTTCTCTTAGTTCATTGGAGGGAAAGTTTTGTGCTTTTATGTTGTTTCTTCTCTGTAAGAGTCTTTTTTGTGGGGTGTGGTGGCACACACTGTGAGTTTAAGGCTAGCCTGGACTACATAGCGAGACTTTGTCTCAAAAAACAAACAAATGAAAAGAAAGTCTTTTTTGCCTATGACTTCTACTCTGAGTAACATTTTGGCCATTCTCTTAAGATTATGATACACAGTGTATTAACTGTTGTTATTTTATAATCATTTTGTTATGAAATTTTGTTTTATTTTTTTCATTTAAAAAAATGACCAGGAATTCACAGGCTCCGAGTTAGGCCTCACTTGCCTGTGAGGGGCCCTGGATCCTTTGGGCTGTATCTGTCACAGGCCTCTGCCAGGGACCTGGTTTCTTTTGTCCCCACCCCAGCTTTGGCTTCTGTCACCAGGTAACCTTGGTGGCCCCATTTCTGAAGGGCTTGAGGTGGGGCCACACATGTGCCCAGGTTCAGGACTTGATACAGGCGACACAAAGGTGACCCTATCTCTCACCTGCATGGTTTTATCAGAGGCCAGCAGTCAGGACATGCACTGGGGTTCAGCGACGGGGCTGTTCTGGTGGGGAGTCTGCCGGAGGGGCTGTGGGGCGAGGCAGGGTGAGGTGTCTGGGGCGAGGTGTGCCTGCGTGGGGAAGTCTGAGCCGAGGGACAGGGCAGCAGTGGTGGTGGCCCAGGCCGCAGAGCTCAGATGGTTACAAAGTTACAGAGGGACCTGAGAGGGATGGAAACTTCCATCCATACCAAAACCTATGTGCCGAGGCTTGTGGTGGCTTTGTTTATTATCATCAAGGGCTGGCTGCAATCCAAATGCCAGCCAGGTGGGTGGACACACAATGGTCCATTTACACAATGGACTACTGCTCAGCAAGGGACAGGAGCGGACCACTGACACGTGGGATGACATGGCAGAGACCCAAGCGCACACACCAAGGGGAAGAAGTGAGGGGTGAAAGGCTGTGTCCCAGGATCGTGTGGGACAGTGTGGGGTAGTCTGGGAAATGCACTGGCTGGAAACCAGACGGGCTGTGTCTAGCGCTGAGTGGGAGGAGGTGTTCACGCCGCAGTGGCAGGGGGAATTTCTTGGGTGCATGGAAATGGTTTATGCCGTGATTACTATCATGGTTACATGGCTTTATGTAGTTGTCAAAATTCTTAAAATTATACATGGGAAAAGAGGTGAATTTTCTGTCTGTAAATTATACCTTGATAAACCTGGAAAAAAAAAAAACAGCTGAAAGTTAGTGTAGTGAAAGTTAGAGAGTGGATACTGTAAGGGCAGGGCGGCTGGGGTGCTGGGGAAAGAACCCAGGGCCTCGTGTGTCCAGGAAGTGCTCTGACCAAGGGCCAGCACTTCCTGTTCATTCTGTGGGAGCGCAGTGGATGCCACAAAGGAGAGCACCCCTAAATCCTACCTGGTGCCCTTCACACCCTCAATGTTCCCCAGGCCACAGGGGAGGCAGGAGGGCTTAACGGGACGGACAAGAAGCCAGTCAGAAACTGAGGCCTAGAGCAGGCTCTGCTGCTGGCCAGCTCAGCCTTATCTACAAAATGGAGACAGAATTTTGCACCTCACAGAGTCCAGCAAGCAACAGATGGGATGACCACGAGAAGCCTGGGCCCCCAGGAGCATTGGCTTTCCAGAAGGACAACCAGTCTAAAATCCTGTCATATTTCTTACAAACTTCGTGATCTTAACCTTTCTGGGCCTCAGTTTCCTCACTGATAAATGTTTTTTTTTGGTCTCATTAAATAGTTTTGAGGATTTAATGAACAGAAAGGCCTTGGCCCTGGGTCTATAATTTAGTGAGCTGTCAGAAAGAGAGCCCCAAGGGCTCCCCTATTATCATAAGGTTGCCAAATCTAGTTAAAAGATACATATGAAATATATATTACATAAATTTGATATCATATATTATGATGTGGAGTAGCAGATAAACAATGAGTAATTTGTTTTGTTTGTGAGACAGGGTCTCTCTATGTAACCCAGGCTGGCCTCAAACTATCAACAATCCTCCTGCTTCAGCCTCCCTCGTGTTGGGATTACAGGTGTGCACCACCATGCCTGGCATCAATGAATAATTTTTTTTAGCATAAGTATACCCTATGCAATATTTGGGACAATATTCATGACACAATTATACTAGAAAACGTCTTTGCTTGTCTGGAAGTCAAAGGTAACTGGACAGTCAGAGCTTCACCCGGCAGGGGAGGCGCCTTGGGAGTGATTTGAGGAGGAGGCTTTGTCTGGAGGTGAGTGGAGGGCGGATCATCTATGGCTTCTCCGTCTTACCTGCAGCCCGAGTCATCTGATGTCACCTCGTCCAGGCAGCCTCCGGAGTGCGCGCCCACTGCTGTGCATTCTTGGTTTGCTTTTGTCCCCGCCTGAGGCTGCCAGCCAGCCAGTGTCACCACAGCTTACTCCTGCTGGGGCAGCCGTTCCGGTGTCCTGAGTGTGAGCCTGTGTCCCCCAGGTGGCAGCAGCAGGGGCAGGGTGACCTGGTGCAGGCAGCAGGCACTGCGAGTGCCGCGGGTCCTCCGTGCCTCGCTGATGGCTGAGTGGCAGCACGGCTCTTACATAATCAGTTTCTCTCCTCCTTCTTTTTCCAGAGCCAGACTTCACACTGAGCAGCTGCAGTCGGGGAAATCAGAGAAAGCGCCATCCAGCCCCAGATTCCGAGGGGCCTGCTGGGGACTCTCCTCTTCCTCTGGAGGGAAGACCCCGAGGCTGCTGGCTGGCACCAGCTCCTGGGCTGTATGGGACTGGCAGCCGTTGCCCCCACGCTGTCCTCCGCCCTGCCAGGCAGATAGGGCCGCTGTGCCCAGGAGCATCCCCCCTCTGCCTGCTGTCCGGCAGCACCTCCTGGTCCGCCTTTCCTGGACTTGGTGGCCACCTCTACTAATAGAAGGCCATGTAGGCACCGCTCAGGCCTTTGCACACACCGCTGGGGACAGCTCCACTGCTCTCGGGGGACCCAGTGTACCACCATGCCCCGGGGACTCGCCTGGCTGCACTGTGAGTACTGGGGTCCCTGGAGACCCTCCCTGGGAGGCCTCAGGCCAGAGTGGGCTCTGCTGTAGCCATGGTAACCAGGGTGTTCTTGATGGCAAGAAGTCGAGATGCTTCCAGTCTCACTGTAGGCAGCCTTGGGGACAGGGACCCCACGGCTGCCCTTTGCCCTGCCTGCCCCTGGCCCCAGGCTCAGAAGGGCAAGCTGGGCATGAGCCCTGGCTGGGAGGGTGCAGTCGGTGGCTACAGAATGGGGAGCCACTGTGGTGGGTGGCAGCGTTTCACCCCTGTGGACTCAGTGGCACTGGGGAGCACGGTGGGGCGGAGGTGGCAGAGAGATTTTTGTCCTCCTGGGTGTGGCCGGCGGTGGGGTGGGGATCAGGGATCCGAGACAGGTGGGACACGTGCGTCCAGGAGCCCGGAGAGACAGCCCGCTCCCCTCAGGCCCTCCCTTCACGACAAAACAGAACCAAAAAGCAGGAAGCTAACAGTGCTGTATATAAAAAGAAAAATAAGTTCACATGAGCACAGGAATAAAAACAGGGAGGAACTGGAGAGCTGTTGTGCCTGGCGGGTGGGAGGGCAGACCACGCGCCCCGCAGGCCCCAGACTCAGTGTCACCAACTCCTCCGACTGAACACATTTCTCTGGGCCGCCCATGGCCCACTGAGAGTGACAGCTGTGCAGTGAGGACCTCGCCTCTCGGCTCTGCGGCTGGCTCGGAGCTAGGTGCCCAGGAGTGACCCAGTGTTCTGGATTTCCGGGTGTTGAGGAGCAGGGGAAGCAGTGTGGGCGAGGCGGTACAGGCAGGGCTGTGTCCATTCAGGCAGACGAAGGGCTGGGGGACAGGGTCCAGGCAGAGGGCACAGTGTGGGCAGAGGCTCAGTGGGGCGCTGGGAGGAGCCAGGCTGCAGAGCCTTAGTGGGCCGGCTGGCTGAGGCCTTGAAGGCTGAGCAGAGACTGCCTGAGATACCGGCGAGCCCTGGGGCTGGGTGGGAGCATGGCTGGAGGTCTCCTTCCGGTGGTACTGGTAGGAGTCGCCTGCAGCCATCCGGGCTGAGGGAATGAGGGTCGGTTCCCAAGGTGGAGGGGGAATGAGTGGGCCGAAAGCTCCAGGAGGCAGCTCTCAGGGCTGGGCAAGGACTGGCTGGGGAATGCAGTGCAAGTTGGGTGGCTCAGGACAACAGAATGTACTGTTTCACCGACCTGGGACTAGAGGTGTGAAATCGGGGTGCGGGCTAGGCATGCCGCAACCCACGGCTCTGGGGAGGCTCCTTCTGTCGTCTGCAGCTAATGGTGGCTCCCGATGTTCCTTGGCTCGGTCTTTGCCTGCCTTTCCCTCTGTGTGCCTCTGTGTCCTCTCCTCTTCTCACCAGGACACCAGGCACTGGAGTTAGGGCCGAGGATGTTTCCATCTGTAGATCCTTCGCTCAGTGACATCTGCAAAGGCCCTACTCCCAAATAAGGTCACACTCTGGGTTTCCAGTGAGTACGAACTGGGGGGATGCATGAGGGTGGGGGTGACAAGCCTCATTTGTCACTGCACAGAGGGTCAACTTGGGGAGGGCACGGTTGCCCCCTTCTACCTGCCACCACCAGGGCCGGGGCACCAGGAAGGGAGCGCCCTGCATCAGTCTTTCTTCAGCCTTCGAGTCTGTCCTTCGGGCTCTCATCTCTGCAGGGAGGGTGGAGGGGGCTCCTTACCAGGGTCAACAGTGCATCTGCCTGTACGGGCCCTGGGGTGACAGGTGTCACCCACTCAAGGTTTTGACTGTGCTGTTTCTGCCTGGTCCCCGTTTCTCCTGGTGGAGGCAGCAGAGAAGAAGCTGAAAATGGAAATGGTGGCCCAGCTGCAGACGTCAAGGGGCCTCGCCCCAGGCTTTCCTGGGACAACAATGTGCTCAGCTGGGCCAGGCTGAGGTGCTGTGGCTCTTGAAGACCCAGTACCTGTCTTGAGGCCATGCAGTTGGCAGGTCCTGAAGGCTGCAGAGAAACCAGTTTCTGGAGTAGGACTTGGGGATGGAGTGGACAGCCTGGGGTGACTGTTGCACTCAGTGTAGACAGGAACACTCCTTTAATTTTATTTATTTTATTTAATTGTGTGTGTGTGTGTGTGTGTGTGTGTGTGTGTGTGGTAGGGGGAGAGTTAAAAGTCTCACTGTAGCCCAGGCTGGCCTCAAACTTGAAATCCTCCCAGCTCAGCTTCCTGAGAACTAGGATTATAGCCATGCATTGCCACACCCACTTTAGAAATACTCTTTTTATTCCCATGGAAATTTGAATTTCTCTGTGCAATCCTGGTAGGTCAGGTATGGCCCTCGGGATACCAGTAACTCTAGGGCTGTGCTTTTGTTTGTTTGTTTTGTTTTGTTTGCAATACTGAGGATTGGATCCAGGGCCATGTGCCTGCTGGGCAAGCACTGTATCACTGAGCTACCTCCCGAGCCCTGGTCTGTGGTCCCTAAAGTGTGTCCCCGGACCAGTGGCCACAACTTTACCTGGGAACTTGTCCCAAGGGGACATGCCCTGGCCTCACCCTAGACCTGCTAGGTCAGAGTGCAGCAGGGCTGGGCTATCAGGGCCTCAAGCAGCTCCCCAGGGCATTCATATGCCAGCTCCCATTTCCACAGCTGGAGGTGAACCCCAAAATTCAGGCGTGCTGTGTTCAGCGAGGCAGACCCTGCTGTGGACACTGGCATTAGGGATTCATGCCAGGGTTAAGTGGCCTGGTCAGGTAATGAGTGAACTGGACGTGGTCCTGAGAGAGGGGTCGGGGGTGCTGGTAGAAGCAGGGGAGACCCTGGGCTGGGGGGAAAGAGTCCCAGTGAGACTTTGGAAGAGGTCTGCAGTGTGAGGCGATAGCAGGGCTCGGTGGAGCAGGAGCAAAAGCCCCGGATGAACAATCTTGACCTCCAGGGGTGGGTGCCAGGCAGAGAGGCTTTATGAGTTAGGGACAGAAGGCAAGCTGATTGATGCCAAAGAGGGAAACACAGGTTTGGTTTGTGCTTGTCTGTTTCTTGGGCCCACTACTGTCTCAGGTACATGGGAGAGGAGAAGTTCAAGACAGATTATCGCCAACTTGAAACCTTGCAAAAAAGTGTGATTGTTAGGGTTCTGTGGAAGGGAAGGGCAGGTGGCTGCAGCCCACACAAGGCTCAGTAGACCTGAAGACAGGGTTGAGGAAGGGCGCTCTGTGAGGGGTCCTGGCAGGTGCAAAGGCCCAGGGCTAGCAGGATCTGAGTAAGGTGAAATTAGGGGAGGAAAGGAGGTGACCAAGAGGTAAAGTGGCCAGGCCAGCAGGGTGACGGACAAAAGCTTCCAAGGTGCCAGGAAGTGAGCACTCAGGGCAGGGATGGGTCAGGGAGGTGCCTCAGCCTGCCTGGCTACTTTTAGAAAAACAAAACAAAATTTAAAAATGAGGCTATTTACTACTTCTGAGAATAAGTATGTATATTGACTGTAGAGAATAAAAAATATCCTGCAAAATATAAAGAACATAAAAAAAAACTCCCATAGATTTGGTGTATTTCCTTCTACAACTCTTTCCACACATACTCACGGAAACAAGGAACAAAATTCAAGTCCTGCTATGTATGTGGGTAGTATCAGGTCATGCTTTTATTTATCTTTTTAAATTTTATTTTCTAATACTGGAGGCTGAACCCAGGGCCTCGGCACTCCCACTCCCCCTTTTATAAATTTTTTATTTTGAGGCAAGGTCTTGCTAAATCACTAAGTTGTGTAGACTGGGGTTGAACTTGCAGTGCTCCTGCCTCAGCCTTTCAGAGTGCTGAGGTTACAGGAGTGTGCGATTCCGCACAGCTGGATCATGCTTTATAAAAATGTCACTAAAGGGGCTGGGGATTTAGCTCAGTGGCTCCACTGCCTGCCTCGCAAGTGCAAGGTCCTGAGTTCCATCCCGGGTACCAAAAAAAAAATGTCATTGAGCATATCTTACATATTTTTCTCATTATGTAAACATGTCATTCCTTGGAAATGTGATTTTTACTGGCTACATTCATTCATACGTAATGTCTTGGCCATTTACAGATTTTCACTATTATAAAATAATGCGGCAGTAGTAAGTCTTTATCCATAAATATTTTGGTTATTACTCTCTTTCTTGTTTTCCTTCCAATTCATGAGTTTAGTGGGCCAAAGGGTGTGGACGTGATTAAATCCATTAATAACAAAACTTGCCAAATTGCTTTCCAGGATGACAACACCTGCTTCACTACTTGCCCAGCATGAGATATTAATAAAACAAAACAAACAGTCCCATTTTGATAGATGAAAAACCTTTCCATTTCAATAGATAAAAAGTGGCATCTAATTTTTTTTAATGGTATTGGGGATTGAACCCAGGGCCTTGAGTGAGTTAGGGAAGTTCTCCAGCACTTAGCTACACCCCCAGACCTTTTTATTTTTTATTTTGTGACAGGATCTCACTGAGTTGCCCAGGCTGGCCTCAAACTTTTGATCTTCCTTCCTTCACCTCTTGAGAAGCTGAGACTGCAAGCAGGTGCCACCGTGTCCAGCTATCTAATTGTTTTAATGTGAATTTATTTCTTTCATTAGTGAGTTTGATATTTTCATACATCTTGGCCTTTTATGTTTTGTTCTTTCTTCTCTGATCCACTGAACCCCTACTCAAATTGCAGTCAGTTGTTTTCTGTCCAGAGCGGCCGGGGCTGTTTTTGAGGTCACAGTGGCCCCCAGTGGTAAAGGCAGGTAATGTTTCAAAGGATGGCCGCTTATTGGTCACAGGTACAGTCCTTGTGAGATCAGCTTCGCATCCCACAGCCACGGAAGGGAAAAGTGCTGCAGACCACTGGGGCATTTAATGGCGGATGTCAGGCAGAGCAGGGAAGAGAGTCCTTTAGGTCGTTAGAGTCACTTTTAGAGTTAGAAGTAGAATCCACATCTGGATCTCTGGATGGAAAATCCAGCAACAGGCTTTGAACACGTCACCCTGGAGGAGAGGCTGAGCTGGAGAAGAAGGACGTGCCTGTCTCACGGGCCAGGAGCTGGGGGAGACTGGAGGCCAGCCTTGGGCCTGTGGGGTAGACACTGGTCACCACGGGACAGCTCACAGTTGCCTGTCCTTGCTGATCTGGGGCCCAGGCCTAGGAAGGCACTGGGACTATGGGTGGTGGGAAGGCTCCCTGGGGCTCTGCACCTGCTGCCCCTTTCCCATGAGTACTTGCAACCCAAGAAAATGGGTGACAGTGGGTACAGCTTTGCACCCTGGGGCGGTGGGAACACGGTGCCTGGTGCTCATGTGCTCTTGTTGGGTGTGGTCTGCAGATCTTGGGATCCTCCTTGGTGTGGCCTTGGGGACCGAGGGCCTGAAGGTGTGGCCTTTGACTCAGAATAAGGGGTGCACTGCCACTGGCTACCTTCGGGACAAGCTGCAGTACAAGAACCGGCTTCAGTACATGGTAACCACACATACACCTGCCAAGTCCCCATTCCCAAGCCCAGCAGCTCACCTGGCGCAGGGCTCTGGACATGGAGGGCCTCCTTGGCCTGTGTCAGCCCCGAGTCACCACAGCTCTCTGTCTACCATTCCCCAACCCCTAGCCCATGTCTAGCCTGTCCTCTGCTCCCTCCTGCCAGCTCCCAGAACCCTTGTCCCTCTCCCAGACCTTTGATTGCTGGAGTGGACCTCAGGGACTCAAACCCCAGGATCATTATCGGGAGAGACAAAGACTGACAAATTGAAATGTATCGTTCTTTTTCAAGAGTTGGCTCTATATGTCTGCTTCTAAAAATGGTTTTATTGAGATATAAATCAAATTCCACGGAATCCACCCATTTGAATTGTACAGCTGCTTGGTTTTGGGGGTCCACAGAGTTGTGCAGCCACTGCCACAGTAAGCTTTACAGCATGTCCCTTGCTCAGGATGCCCGGTCCTTGACATAGCAGGGCCGCATCTTGGACCTGAAACCTCAGCCTCACCAGGGAGGTCGTGGTCTTTGGTTTCACTTTGCCTGAGTCTGTCTTCAGCCCAGTTGGGAGCCAGGCCTGCCTTCTCCCTAGAGGACCCCTCTGCTGTCATGGGGATCAGCCTGGGCCCCCCTCTGACCTCACCATTCATCCTGCCTGGGGCTACCTGTCCAAGCCGTGCCTGCCTCTGACCTCATGGTTTGTTGCTGTGCCTCCTAGAAACACTACTTCCCCATCAACTACAAGATCAGCGTGCCTTATGAGGGGGTGCTCAGAATCGCTAACGTCAGCAGGCTGGTGAGGACCCCCTGCCAGCTGGGGTGACCCCTGCCTCCCTCGATCCCTCTGGGCCCTGTCTCTGCCCTTGACCCGGCCCAAGGTTGCCCCAGTGGGTACCCGTGGTGGCTCCCTTGCAGGGGATGAGAGGTCACAGCCCATGGGCCTCATCTGGGGGTTCCAGGGACTCTCCTGTCTCTGCAGAGGAGGGCCCGGGTGAGTGAGCAGGAGCTGCGGTACCTGTGGGTCTTGGTGAGTCTCAGCACCACCGAGTCAGTGCAGGACGTGCTGCTAGAGGGCCACCCGTCCTGGAAGTACCTGGAGGAGGTGCAGACGCTGCTGATGAACGTGTATCGGGACCTCAGGGTGAGCTGGGCTCGAGTGTGTGGGCTTGGGGGGCTAGAGGGTGGGCACAGCTGCAGAGGGAAGAGGGAAGCCCAGGAGAGCTCTGGGGTGTCCCGAGGGTGCAGGAATGGGAAGGGGGCGGGCAAAGGAGCCTGGAGAAGAAGAGCCTGGTGGGGCAGGCAGGGTGCCTGAGACTGTTCTAGGCTCTGGGGCCTGCTGAGCAAGTCATGGGAGCCTCTGAATTTTCTTTTCTCTTTCTCTTTTGGATTGAACCCAGGGGCTTTGTACTGAACTATATCCCCAGACCTTTCTTTCTTTTTTTTGAAACGGTATTTATTTCTAAGTGATTGAGTCGCTCAGGCTGGGCTGGGACTCACAATCCTCCTGCCTCAGCCTCCCAGTGCGTGCCATCCAGCCTGGAGGAATTTTTCTATGTCTAAGAAACAAGGCTCCTTTGTGGGGAGGAAGAACAACTAGGTGGAGCATGGGATTTTCTAGGACAGTGGAACTATTCTATATCACACATTAATAGGGGCACATGACAGTGTGCATTTGTCAAAACCCAGAGCACTCCAACACAGGGTGTGACCCTTGATGACTAAGGCTTGAGTTAACTAAAAAGAAAAAGAGGCTCCTTCCTACACAACAAGGTTGATCTGAACCCTCCACAAAGCCCAAGTCATACTAAAAAAGTAAGGCGATGGAATCATCGTGTCCCCAGGAAGACCACCTGTCCTCAACAGCCCTCCTCAGGCCCTTGGTGCACACCTGTCCTGGGTCCCACCTGCCACCACCTCGGCCAGCTGCCTGGGCTCATCTGCCCACCAGGCCCAGAGCTTCCAGCACCAACTGTGAGCATCCGGGAGGCAAGGGCTTGGGCAGCAGTGGCTATTTTTGCAGCTGCCTACGACCAGCCCAATGGCCCGGAAGGGGCCCCTCCCATCCCTACAGAGTCGGGGTGCCCAGCTGACTCTTTGGGGGCTCGTGCCCCTGGGCAAGTAGGTGCCCAGGCAAAAGGAGCCCCCGGGGAGGGGGAGGGGCTGCTTGGGGTGTGGAGGGGACATTTCCACCCTTGCTTTCCCTCCAGGGCATTTCTGGCTGAAAACAAAGACGTGGGAGTTGAAAAGCAGGATATGAGCCCCCCCCCTCTCCACCAGGCTGGCCTCTCTTGGTTAAAGTAGTGCACATAGGGATTCTTTTATTATTGTTATTTTATTTTTTGGTGCTGGAGACTGAACCCCTGAGCTACACCCCAGCCCTATAGCCAGCTTTTACATCTCTGTTCTTCCTTGTTTTTCTTGTTAGCATCTTGCTATGTTGTCCAAGCTGGCCTTGAACTCACTCACTATGTAGCCTAGGTTGGCCTCAAATTCACAGCGATGCTCCTGCCTCAGCCTCCTGGGATTACAGATGTGTACCACTATTCTTGGTTCACACCTCTCTTCTGACACTGTTAGTAGCCACGACCTAGTTTTTAAGATGGATTGCACTTAGAGAAAAACTACCATTCAGATTTTCTTTGTTTGTTAATCACCCAGTGGTCATATAATGTAGGAGGTCTGGCCTGGGAATTGGATAAAGCTGTTTCCACACCACCTGCCTCACAAGCAGAAGGTCCCGAGTTTGATCCCTGGTACCATAAAAAGAAAAACCAACCTGTTTCCAGTTACGTAGCTTTGAACAAGTTGTTTCACCTCTGGGCTTCAGGGGTGAAAAAAAAAAAAAAATATATATATATATTCCAACTGGGGTCTTCACATTGGGCCACATCCTCATCTTTTTAAAATTTTGAGCTAGAGTCTCACTAAGTCCCTGTTTCCCAGGCTGGGCTTAAACTTGCAATCCTCCTGCCTCATCCTCCAGGAGTGCTGGGGTCACAGGGTGTGCCTCCATGCCCTGGCAGATCTGTCATTTGTGAGCAAAAGTGGTTGAAATGAAGTCTGAAATGGTACCTATGGTAGCTGTAGAATTGATTCTACAACTTAATTTAATGTCCTCATCTATTTGGAGATGCCGGGATTCCAGGTCCACATTGTTCTGGTCCTGCATTTCCCCCTCTTGCTTTTGTTAAGTTTCCTCATAAAAAAAAGAAAAAAACAAAAAAGAAGAAGCAGATTCTAGATAGGGACCATGGGGAATGGGCTTCGAGGGAGCATGTTTCTAATATAAAATCTGCCATCTGACCTTTCTTTTTTCATTTGACCGTTTTTAAGTTGTACACCTTAGTGACATTAATTCTATTTACAGTGTCAGGCAACCATCATGTTTGCCCATTTCTAGAACCTTCTATTACCCTGAACAGAAACTATCCATGAAGCACTCACTTCCCATTTTCTGCCTCTCTGCAACCCTGGTGACCTGTCATCTGCTTTTTTTTTTTTTTTATGGTACCGGGGATCAAACTTGGGGACCTTGTGCTTGCGAGGCAGGCGGTGGAACCACTGAGCTAAACCCCCAGCCCCCTGTCATCTGCTTTTTGTCACCGTATTTTTGCCTCTTTTCGGTACTGCATACAGGGGGAATCATGCAGTATTGACCTTTCAAGTCTGGTGGCTTGCACTTCCCATATTTTCCAGATTCACCCATCAGTCCCAGATCTCTGGGAGGCTGAGGCAGGAGGAAAGAGAGGAGGATTTCAGTCTGGGCAACTTAGTGACTTAATGAGACCCTGACTCAAAAGAAAAAAAAAAAAAAGAGCTAAGGACAAAGGCCCTGGATTAAATCCCCAGTATGGAGAAAAAAATTTTTTTAATCCATTAGGCTTGCCTCACATATGTGAGGCCCTGAGTTTGATCCCAGCACTAAAAAACATTCCTCCATGTCATAGCATGTCTTAGAAATTCTTTCCTTTTTATGGCCAAATAATATTCCATTCGTGTAGATGCCACATCTGGTTTATCTGTTTGCCTTGGGTTGTGTCTAGCTTTTGGCTGTTGGGAAAAATGCTGCTGTGAACATGGATTTACAAGTATGTGTTTAAGTCCCTGTTTTCAATTCTTTGGGTACATCCACTGAGGAGTGGGATTTTGGTCACAAGGTAATTCTGTGTGGCTTTTCCTAGGGTGCTCTAACAAATGAGGCCAAACTTGGAGGCTTAAAGCACAAATTGGCCAGGTGCAGTGGCACATGTCTATAATCCCAGCAATTGGGAGGCTGAAGCAGGAGAGTAGCAAGTTGGAGTTCCACCTGGACAATTTAGTAAGACCCAATCACAAAATAATAAAATAAAATAAAGGAGAGCTAGGTGTGGTGGTACACACCTATAATTCTAGCACTCAGGAGGCTGAAGCAGGAGGATTGCTGTGAGAGTTTAGAGACCCTATTTCTAAAAAAAAAAACCCTCCAAAAATAAAAAAACAACTGAATGCCCCCATATGCCAGAGACCTGAGACACAGTTCATAGGCTCCTGGTCACAGGAAGTCTGGGGCAACACCAGGCCAGACGGCCCCACAGTTCTTGTGCAGTGTGGCTCAGTTTGCTCCTTTGCAGGATGTGGAGATCGGCCCCAAGGTGGAAGCCGTGTTGTCGGTCCTCAGCACCCCAGGCCTGAGCCTGAAGCTGGTGAGGCCCAAAGCCCTGATGGACAACTGCTTCCGGGTCATGGAGCTGTTGTACTGCTCTTGCTGTAAGGAGCTCCCAGTGGGTGGGGCTGGGAGGGGCAGGAGGCCAGTGTCTGGGCCCAGGGCGGCACCCTCCTGGGTACACACTTTTTGTCCAGAGTGACAGCCCACTTCTGGAAGCCAAGATGGGCCCTGAGTATAGACAAGAAAGAATGCGTGGCTTGTGAGTGCCATGGTGCATGCCTAAAATCCCAGCTATTTGGTAGGCTGAAGCAGGAGGCTCACAAGCTCACAAGCCAGGGCAATTTAGAAAGACCCTGTCTCAAAATAAAAATTGAAAAAGGACTGGAGGGGTAGTAATGCAGCACTTGCTAGGTTCAATCCCCAGTAATGCAAAAAAAAAAAAAAAAAAGGTGGCTTGGCGGGGTGGTGCTTCATGTCTCCTGCAGTCTTTTTCTCTCTCTGCCCCTTACAGGTAAACAAAGCCCCGTCCTAAACTGGCAGGACTGTGAGGTGCCAAGTCCTCAGGCTCACAGTCCAGAGCCCTTGTTGCAATGTGCAGCCACCCACTTGTACCCTCCAACCTAGGCCTGGCCCCTGCCTGCCCGGCTCCCTGGGCCTAAGTGCTGCTGGGCCCCGGGGCTGAGGTCTCTGGGCCTGAGGCTCCTGTATGTTGGTCGTGTGTGGGGAGACTTGAGTCCCAGGAGCTGGGCCAGGCCTGAGACTTCGGAGAAGCCCCCTGAGCTGGAGGTGGGCTCAGCGGTTTCTGCCTTCTGACCTGACTCCATCTCCCGTGGAATGGCAGGGGCTGGGGCCCCCGGCTGGGCTGCAGGTGGTGCTGAAGTCTCCTGTGGTCGCTGGAGCCGGAGCTGTGCTTCGAGGCGGCAGCAGAGATGCAGGGACCACGTAGGACTCCAGGACTCACCGTGGCTTTCCAGCCAGGTGGCACTGAGGGCCAAGCCAAAATGCCACATCTTGCCACAGTGGATGCTATTCTCATTTTTTTTCTATTAAACACCCGCTGTTTTTGGTTTGGTTTGGTTTGGCTTGCTTTGCATCTGTGATGGTGAACTTGGCTGGCCAAGGGCAAGTGGTGGGATAGGCATCTGGACTTGGGAGTGGATGGAGCATGATTCACAGACATTCGAGGATCAAGTTTCTCCCAGCCCTACCCTAGCCCGTGGCACCTCAGCAGGCCTGAGGGGCATCTTGGGGGGTCAGAGTGATGACAGGGATGTTGGCCATCTTCTCTCGCACCCTGGCTGCCCAGATAGCCCCCAGCAGGGGCAGAGCGGGACCACCTCAAAGTCTCAGGTCCAGGCCGAAGCCCTGGCCACTCCTGGCCCTGGGCCAGGGGACCTGCTTGGCTCAGAGTCCCCAGGGTCCAGGGTGGCCAAGGCCAGGGTGCAGGGGTAAGAAGGGGGCAGGGAAGTCAGGCAGAGGCAGCAGTGTTAATTACAGTACGACTTTATTAATACTGGAATCTTCACAGTGCATTTGTTACTTGTAGCGGTGACTATTTAAATCAAGGGGAGGATGGAATGAAGAGGGCAGGGAGGAGAATGTATTCAAAATCCGACAGAAAGAAAAGAAACAAAATGGTCCAGATGGAGGGGAGTGAGGGAGTGGGGTAAGGGGAGGAAAGGGGTGAGTTGGAACCAGGAGGGGCAGCCTGGGGTAGGAAAATAAATTAAAAAAAGGAACAAGTTAACAACAGCACCAGAAAAGTTACTTCAGTCGAAAGACGCTTTTGAAAAGAATATTTCTCTGTACAAAATGAAAAATAAAATGAATGTAAAGAAGCCCCCCAAACCAAAGTTTGTGATGTGGGGCGCTGGGCTCGGATCCCGAGGGGGTAGCCTACGAGGTGGTCATAAGTGACAGGAAGGTGGTGGGGACAGTCATGGAACACACAAGGATGGAGTATGTACAGCTAGGGGCTCTGAGGGGAGGGGACAGCGGAGGGGGCTCCGTCCCGCCCCCTCCCTGGGAAGCCCTCAGCCTCCCTTCCCACCCAGCCTGGAGCCGCGGTGCTCACCCTGTGAAGCCCCCAGGAGGCAGCGATCGCTCCTCGAGGGGAACCCCAGACCCCCCCCCACCCCTGCGCTCCCGATAGAGGCCACGCCTGCCCATCCTGCTGCTGCGCCTCACGCTGTGCCCTCACACATCCCGAATCTCGCTCCATCAGCTGCCCAGGAAAGTCCCTGGGGGTAAGTGCAGCGCAAATTCCACCCCAGGGAGCCCCAGACTGGTCACCCACTCTCCTGGCCCCCACCCCTGGGGCCCTGGTATCCGTCCAGCTTGGAAGGCAAGGTGCTCAGCTGGGCAGTTCCCAGATCTGCACGGACTGGACTCCAGCAGTCCTCGGGGGACCCCATGGGGACCCCATGTGCACAGGGGCATCCTGGGTCCCCAGGAGCCTGGGCAGCCCTGACTCTACTCCGTCCAGACTGAGGCCCGCTGCTCTCCTGGCCCCCAGGGAGACACTACCCTTGGGGCCCTGCAGCTTTCCCCACTGACCCAAGGACCACCTGGAATCCCTCCACGTGCCCTAGCCGTACATGCTTTTACCTGCTCAGACCTGGCCGGACCTGGGCTGTGGAGTAGGAGAGTGGCCCACTCCTTGACCCAGCCCCCACTGGGAGGACTGTCCCAGGAGAGCATCTCCTCTGGCGACAGAGAGTCAAAGCTGACCTCCCCAGACTCGCTCCCCACTGCAGGCCTGCAGCTTGCTGATGCCACAGCAGCCCAGCCCAGAGGTGGCCCTGGTCCTGCCCTCTCCATCCTTAGTGTGGCTACCCACCTTCCCCCTGGCTTTGGGGGAGCCGATCCTGCCCTCCTGCCACAGGCCCACCAGGCCACTGTGGGAGCCCCATCTCTCAGGCACTCAAGACACACACCCTGTACCACCAGCTTGCCCCACACAGAGCCCTTGTCTGGGGTCAGCTCCACTTTATGAGACTCATCAAATACCCGCCTCTCATCCTCTATGGCTCCAGCCCCACCCTAAAGGTTGCTGAAACTGTGGCTCCAAAGTGCCGCCAGAGTTAAAGTCCCAGTGTGCTCAGATGAGAATGTGGCATCTGAAACGGCTCCTATGCGCTGGCCAGGTGACCCCAGGGGCCTCCGGACTCCTTGCCCTGCTGCTCGGCAGCCCCCCGCAGCCATTCCTCCTGGGTGAGGGGCCAGGAAGTCCCCCAGCCTCCCCTACAAGGTCCCTTGACGCATTTCTTCCCCAAGACTCCGCCTGGACCCTGGGCTACTTCCCCAGGGGAAGGCCTGGCGTCCCAGCTCCTCCTCACTCCCCTCACCCCGACCCCAATTAGCTACCTCAGCTGCCTGAACTCCGGGCCCCACAGCCACCCTATCCCCCAGGTGGAGAGGGGCCTGGGAGAGGCAGAGAGAAGGTAAGGGAGAGCAGGGTATGCAGGTAGGGAGAGGAGAGGCTCAGCGTTCAAGGGAGAGCTGGGACCCCAGGACCCCAGGGAGCAGTGGCCAGGGGGGCTGAGCTGTGGACCCTGGGCCAGGTGGGGCCAGGATGGCGAGAGGGAGGCTGGCCAGGCCCTGTGGACTCGCTGGAGTTTGGAAAAGGCAGGGCCTGCAGGGAGGAAGAGAGGAACAGAGTAGGCAAGGAAAGTATAAAACTGGCTTCGAAACCAGCTCCAGGCCTGCAGGCTCCGTCCTGGCAAGGTCTGTGAGTTAATTCCCGGTAAATGCTGAGCCTGAGACCCAGCCCGGGTGTCTTTTTCTGTCAAGTGGCTTTGCCTCATCCCTTGCGCTGTTCTCGCTCTGGCTGTACCTTCTCTCCGCGTGGCCACTGCTCACAGACCAGGGCCACCTGCTTGCAGCAGGGCCATGCAGGGTGGGGAGGGTGGCACTATCATAAGATGCGGGGTGCCGACCTGTCGTTGGTGACGGTCCTGCGGAGCCGGACCCCGCGCCGGATGGCTACCAGCATGTCTTCTGCTGGGGGGTCACTGGTGGCAGCAGGGGGTGGGGTGGGCGTCTCCTCGGTGGGGGTGGCCGACAGGGCGGTGGGGAAGGGGAACTGGCCCTCGCCCAGGGCGTGGGCCCCGGCCACCAGCTCCCCAAGCTTCTCCACCAGGCTGTGCCTGTTGGCGGCCAGCTGCTGCTCCTCCTCGTCCTCCGCTGCCAGCCTGGTCCCTGGCCCAGGGTAGCTGGCTGCCTCGGGGGATGGGCTGCCCCAGGCGGTGTTGGGCAGGCTCAGCCTTTTCGGGGAGGCCTTGGCGAGGTCCGGGGCCAGGGGTGAGGCGGCCTCATCTGTGTAGAAGACACACTCCTCGCTGCCCACCCTCGTGGGCCCCATGTAGCCGGGGGAATCGGGCACCGTGGGCGTCTTCACGGGGACGATGGGTGGCCGGATGGGGATGGGGCCAGCGCTGGACAGGGCGCGGCGCACGGTGGGCTTGGTGGAGGGCGTGCGGCGGATGGTGGCCACACCAGGGGGTGCACCCGAGGGCAGGCCTGTGGCTGTGGGCAGCCCAGCAGTGGAGGCCGGGCGCTTGGTCTGGAGGAGGCGGCGGTAGTTCTGGGCGATGTTGCTGTTGCGCGGGATGGTGGACGACTTGTCAAACTCCTGGGGCCCCTCGCTGTCTGCATCACCGTTCACAGAGTAGCAGTCGTAGTCAGAGCCTAGGGACACAGGATGTGGTAGGCCTGGGGTCCGGGTGCTGCCTGCATCCCTCCCACCCGGGGGGACACAGAGAGGGCAGAACAGGGCCCGACTAGCAGGGCAGGGCTGCAGGGCCCACCTTGGGAGGGGATGGTGTCCTCAGAGCAGGAGGGCGTGGTGGTCTGTGTGCTATAGCCACTGGAGTACTGCAGTGAGTCCCGGCTGCTCTTCTGGTGCTCCAGGCTCAGGCCTCGGGTCAGCACCATGGCCAGGTCGCTGGCGGCGGGCGACACCTCCTCGCCATGCTGGGGTGAGAAAATGCAGACTGAAGCCTCATGCCACACATCCTCAGTCATACTCCCGGGTCACCGCCAAGGTGGCTGGGGATGGCCCTGGGGACCACTTGCTGGGTCTCCCGGTACTGAGCCTGGAGCAAAGGGGGGCCCTGGAGAGGCTGCCCGGGGAGCTAGCTGCCCACCTTGGCTGCAATGGTGGCAGGGGACATCCGGGGTCGAGGTGCCTCCTCCCCAGTGGGGCCCAGGGGGCCTGTGCTAGCAGATCCTGGCTCTGTGTCTCGGAGGAGCTCCACTCGGTCCTTCCTCCGCTGCAGGGTGGTGCCTGTGGGCTGCTCATGGGGGCCGGCCTTGGTCCAGTCCTGTGAGGTGTGGCAGGCAGGTCAGGGGCCCCTTGGCCTTGCTGCCCGTGGCCAAGGGTGTCCAGGTCTGCAGGGGGCCTCTGGCTTGCAATCATGGGCAAGGCCAGAGCCCAGAAGGGCAGGTGTGACCCACTCCATCCCACCAGGTCCAGAACAGGGTGTCCCAGCAGGGAGGCAGCAGCAGCGGGTGGTGGCAGGCAGCTCCTCTGGTGGAGACGGGTGCCATGTCCCCACAGCTCTCTGGCTGAACCTGGGCCCTCCCGCGGTGACAGCCTCAGGTTGGGAGGGCACAGGGCAGACAGCTGGTGACAGTCTTGGGGCGGGGAGCACTGACCGAGGTGGGGGAGCTGCACTCGCTAACAGACTGGCAGGTTTCCGAAGCCTCAGAGGATGCAGAGCTGGAGGACTTCTGCCATGCAGAGGTGAGCAGGTGGTTACAGACAGGGGCCGGCGGATGGCAGGGAGGAGAGGAGAGAACAGATGTGGTCACAGTGCTGGCATGCATGCACCTGCCATGGGCCATGGCCACCAACAGCAGTGTGGCAGATGCTGTGGCCCAGAGTGCCATAGTGGGCACTGCCCAGCCAAATGGCCCAGCCCAGGAACTGCACATTCTAAGTACTCGCTGCCGACGGCCTGCATGTGGTAGGTGAGGCACAAGGAGTCCCGAGCACTGTCCTGTGCACACTAAATGGAGCTGCCCGTGACTCGAGGGTGCCATGTGGTTGAGCACTGTATTTACAAGGCTGGAGCTGAGTGCAGTCAGGGCTGGAGCCACACATGGACAGCCAAGGGGCAGGAGGAGCCAACCAGGCAGCGAGCACTCGGTGGTTGAGGAAGAGAGTCCAGCAAAGGAGAGCAGCAAAGAGCTGCCAGAGAGCTGGGACAGCTGTGGACTCAAAGGAGAATGGGGTGAGGGACCCCATTTAGGAGTGGCCCGAGTGTGAATGGGGGACTCCCCAGTAGGGGGTAGGTGTCCTGCAGGTCCTCCCACTCCACACAGTGAATGAAGGAAGGAGAAATACAGGCGGACTCAGAGCACATGGCTGGGTTTCCAGGGCAGATGCTGACTCCGGTCTGTGCTCAGAGATGGAGCCAAGTGAAGTGCTCTCCTGGATGAGCAATCTAAGCCAGGGCAGTGGGGAGGGGACCAGCAGCACCCCAGCTCTGACCCAGCTCTCATATCACCCCCGATTTCGATCTGCAGGTTTCCCACAGATTACAATGAGCCAAGACTGAGGCAGTGAGGCCAGCCCTCGCGCTTTTGGGGTTAACAGACACAAACAATGGACCAGCCTTCAAGGTTATGAGATTAGGGTAACACACTAGGATGGGGACTCGGCTCAGCCTTCAGACTATGTGCTTAGTAGAGATACCAAGAAGCCAGAGCCAAGATCAGTAAAATCAAAGTCACAGAGGCAGGTGATCTGCCTCACCCCAAAACCCAATTAGGAACCTTTCCAGATGATAAGGGCAAATTCCACAAGGCAAGGGACAAATGCATGCATAGAATACCCCCTGAAGTAACTTACAGTTACCTTCACCATATTAGCACAGTAACAATCACACCTCGAGGTGGAGACATACATGGTAATGAGACACATGTCACATGAAGTGGTTACCTCTACATGCGACAACATCAAGAGACCAGTCCCTGCCTACCCCATGGAGGCTACAAAAGCTGTGCACCTTTGTCCTCTGGGTCAGCTGGGTTCCTGTTCCCCACAGCTTTCCCCCTTGTGCTTGAGTACAGAATCAAAGGCTTGTTCCTGCGCCAAAGTGCTTCTGTTTGATTCTTCTGGTAGCACAAGAATCCTCAGAGTCAGTAACAAGATCACCAAAATAAAAGGGAACAAAGCACCAAGGTGAGGCTCCAAAGGAAATAACTCTCAGTATTCTAGTAGTATGATTGTTAAAATTAAAAAAAAACTTAATGGGAAAAAAATTGGAAAAGTCAATGGAAAAGTTTAAAATCCATTCATGAAAACCAAAACCCCAAAAAACTCTGAAGCACCAGGAATAGAAAGGAATATCCTTAATCTGATGGAGACTATCTGAACAAATACTGATATTTTTCCCTCTCAGGTCGGGAAAAAGACAGACACCCACTATCAGCACTTCTATTCAGCATTGGAAGTCTTAGCCAGTGCAATAAAGCAAGAAAAGAAAGTAAAACACTAAAGGACTGGAAAGGAAGAAATAAGACAACCACTACTTGCGATTACACAAAAATTCAAAACAAACTATAAATTATCAGAATTAGTAAGTGAATTTTAAGAAAATTATTGGATACAAGGCCAGAAAAAAAATCAATTGTAGGGCCAGGGATTTAGCTTAGTGGTGCTGCCGCCTACCTTGCAAGCAAAAGGTCCTGAGTTTGATCCCTAGTTTAAAAAAAAATCAATTGTAAGATGGGGGCGATGGTGCATGCTTGTAATCCCAGCACTCAGGAGGCTGAGGCAGGTGGATTGCCATGAGTTCAAGGCCAGCCTGGGATACACAGTGATTCAAGGCCAGCCTGGACTATAAAAAAAACAACTCCCCCCAAATCATTTGTATTTCTAAAAACCAGCAGCTAACAAACATATAATTTATAATAACAACAAATACTAAATACCTGGAAAAAATAGTGATGTTTAAGGACTTTACATAAAAACTACAAAACATAATTGAGATTACTGAAGACCTAAACAAAAGAAAAATGTACACTCCCAGTCCAAATCCCAGAAATTTTTTGTTTTGTTGTTTTTGGTGGATACTGACAAGGTAATCTTAAAATTCGTAAGGAAATAGAAAGGGCCACATATAGAAAAGGTGATTCTGTAGAATGATAAGGCTGGAGGACTTTCACTAGCAGATGTCAAGATTTCCTGCAGTCACAATCATTGAGAGGTGCGGCTGGCACGAGGACAGACCTGTCAGCCAGCTGGACAGGAAGGCCATGCACCCAGCGCACAAGGAATCACTGATGCTACGGTCTGGATGCTTGAGTCCCTCCAAATTCACGTGCTGACACCCTGACGCTCAAGACAATGGCATTAGGAGGTCGGGTCTTTGGGAGGTAATGAGATCACGAGGCTAGAGTCATCACAAATGGGATTGGTGTCCTCAGAAGTAAGGCTGGACAGAGCTAGTCTGCCCCTTCCACCACGGGAGGACTCTTCCTCTGGGAAGCCCAAAACAGTCCCTTACCAGATTCCAAATCTGCTGGAGCCCTGATCCTGGCCTTCTGAGTCTTCAGAACTGTGAGAAACACATTTCTGTTGTTCATAGTATTTTGTTACGGCAGAACAGAGAGGCTATGACAGATGGCCTTTTCAGTAGATTGTTCTGGGTTAATCAGAGGCCCACATGGACCTACCTAGCCTAATTCACACATATTCAGTCAATCATCAATCAATCAATTCCAGATAAGCTGCAGATCTAAATGAAAAATGTAAAAAAGGTACCAAAAAAAAAAAATGGCTTTCTGGAGGAAAACATCTTTCTGACCTGGGAGTATGAAAAAACGTTTCAAGCAGGACACCAAAAGTATAAACAATTTAATACTGTAACAGATAAACTGGACTACAGATGTGAGAACGTCTAGTCATGAAAAGATCCCATTAAAAGGATAAAAAATCCCTGCAGAATTCGAGAAGGTATCTGATGAAGGATTTGGATCCACAGTCTGTCAAGAGTACTTACTACAAATCACTAAGAACACAATTTCAGAGAAAATAATGAACAAAAGATGGAACAGGACCTTTGTGAAAGCTATTCAAATGGACTTTACAAGTATGAAAAGGCATTCCATCTGATTGTTATTAGGGTCATGCAAATTCAAACCGCAGAGGGGCGGCTACTGGACACCTATCAGGATGCCCGATATGAAAAAGGTATGAAATACCGAGGGCTGCTGAGGACGTGGCATCGCAATAGACTGGTAATGCTGTGATCAGACTGAAGTGGTGCAGTCACTCTGGAATACTGCCTGGTAGTACCTAATCCCAACCCTGCTGTGGGTGTGCAGAAATGCTAGAACGTTCACAAGCCCCCAAACTAGAAATTATCAAGTGGCCATCAAATGCAGAAGAGCTGGGTAAGTTATACATTCATACGACAGATGGCTATGCAGTGTGAGAGTGACACACATCACCACATAAAAGATGACTCACAACACAATGCCGAAGAAAAGCCAGGCATAAAGGATACCTACTATATGATTCCATATGTGTACAGAGGCAACAGTGAATACATACATATATACAAGATTTTTTAAAAGATAAAAGGAAGGAAGGCAGAACCAGTCGTCAGCACAGTGGTGGTCCTTGGGTAGAGCAGTGGCTAGGAGACTAAAGGGGGTCAGGCTGAACGAGACTGTGGTCTTGTGCTGGTTACACAGGTGTGGTCAGCGTGTGGAGTCATGGAGCTGTACCCGTAGGACATATTTACCTCGGGGCACGAACAGGATACATCAATAAAGATCTAAAGAGACTCAGTGGTAATGGATTATAGCCCATAGAATAAAGGAAATATTTGAGTCCATACTGGTATAAATAAGTAATGGACTACATAAATAAATGAGGGAGGAGATATTTTTACAGCAGAATTCCACTTAATAAATGCAGGAGGAATGATGCAAGTAGGCACATCACTGTTGTCACAGGCAAGGATCATTAATGGATGCTGAAGTCAGAGAGTGAGTCTGATGAAGAATAGGATATTGGGAGTCTCAAAGCTTCGCCCTCAAGATACGTGATTTATGACAAAGCAGAAACTTAGGGCCCTACAGAGGGGAAGCCTGGCAGACACCGCATGGCCAAGGATCATGGTGCCACCAGGGATGAGATCTAGCACGTGGCTGACTGGATGTCCCAGGGAGGGCACAGTGCTACTTCTGTGGTACTGCACAATGACTGACCTCTCCTTCTAAATGGGAAGAATCTGACCAACCCCAACTGAGAGACATCCTACAAAATGCCTGACCAGCGCTCCTCAAAGCGTCCAAGTTATGAAAGGAAGGAGGATGGGACTGAGGAACTCACAGGCGGGAGGAGCTCAGGTGACACAGAAACTCAGTGCTACACAGGATTCTGTACAGGCTCCTGGGCCAGAAAAGGACAGCAGAGAGGAAACTCGCACAATGTGGAACAAGTCTGCGGATCAGGCACTCGTGCTGTGCCAGGGCTAATTTCCTGGTTTTGAAAATTGTTACCTAAGTTGTCAACACTGCAGAAGACTATAGGGAGGGTATCTGAGCTCTCAGGACTCTTTTGACGACTTTTCCATAAGTCTAAAATGACCTCAGGGCAAGTGCGAGGTCCTGAGTTTGATTCCCGGTACTGGGAAAAAAATCACCTCAGAATAAAAGCTTAAAAGAAAAAACCCTCTGTGGGCAGGTCAAATAGCAAGCTAGAGAACAAGTAGACTGGAAGACCATTTAGCCAGAATGTAGTGCAGAGAAACAAGGAGGTTAAGAATATGAACTAGAGAGAAAGAACGAGACGGTGTGACGGACACTTAACTGGAATCCTAGCAACAGAATGAAAGTGGGGATACAGGGACCATAGCTTGGACCGGGGACATAGCTCGGGATGTCTGCCTAGCATGTGTGAGGCTTTGGGTTCCATCCCCAGTAACAAGCACACACACACACACATGCACGCACGCACGACATGATATCATTAGCTTGGATGAAACAAGAAAATACAGGCATATGTTGTTTACAAGACTCATTTAAAGCATAACATAGGGAGTCTAAAAGCAAAGAGACTGCTGGGAGTGGTGGCGCACGCCTGTAATCCCAGCATTCAGGAAGCTGAGGCAGGAGGATTGCTGTAAACTGTAGGACAGTCTGGGCTACATAGTGAGTTCAAGGCCAGCCTGAACTATAGATCAAGATCCTGTCTCAAAAAAAAGGTAGAGATGGAAATCGATAATGTCAGTATGGGAAGGAACAGCAGCCCTGGGACATCTCAACAGCCCTTTGTGGCCCGGCATGTGAAGCACCCGAGGCTGCTGCACTCCACCCCAGGGGGTCCTCCTGGTGTCCCCTCACCTGGCTGGTGATGTCTGAAGGCATGGGCGAGGGGGGCTTGGAGTAGGTGGCATCCTGGGAGACGAAGCCAGAGTCGTGGGAGGACACGCTGGAGAGGCGGGTGGTGGCGGTGGCTGGCTGCGCCAGGCTGCGGTAGCGACAGGTGGAACTGGGTGAGTATGTTTGGGCACCCCCAGGCCACGGGGCTCCGCCACCCTTGGCACTGCTACTGCTGCTGGGGGCACTGAGGGAGTGAAGGAGGAGGGCACAGTGGCCAGACAGGGAAACACAGGGGTGTGTGTGGTGGGGAGGATGACAGACGAGGGTGGGAGACAGAGGTGTGGGGCAGAGGAAGGAAAAGAGAATGTCAGACTATGAGGTCCTGAGACCCGGGTACTGCAGAGGAGCTGGGCTCTGGGATGGTGTGGAGCAGGGGACAGCCAGCCGTGCCCTTTCAGAGCCTCAGGGCTGGGGAGCCACTGGCAGGGCATGCCCAGGGCGAGGCAATCTCTGCCTCCTCCTTTGCCACTAGAACATTTGTCCTCAGGTTAACAATGGGGAAATGGGGTCACCAAGCATCAAATGCCCCTAGTGTGTCCACTGCTAAACTGCCGTCTCAGAGTCTGCCAGTCTGAGATGGGCATCTAGCTCTGGGCATGCAGTGACTCTCTGGCACCTCCTTCGTCACCTTCCCCTGCAGACTGCCCAGTGCTCTATGGCTCATACCCTCTGCACAGCCATTTCGGCCCTGGGTGGTCTCCTGGCAGTGCAGGCTGCCTTCCTCCTGACTGTGACCCTGGAGACTCCTGACCCCTGCCTGTCCTTTGGCATGCATGGGTCACCCTGAAATCAACACTCCTTCCTGGGATGGCCACCCATCAGGGTCGCAAGAGGCTCCAGCAGCCCCAGGAAGGAAGTGACTGCTGGGCCATTTTGTAAATGTCTCCTCCAGATCTGGCTGCAGTGCCAGCCTGAGGAAGGGTGCCCCATCCTGAGGCAGCCGGGTGGTTGGTGGGCTCCTGGGCCTTTCCCTGGCTCTGGGAGACCTCAGGGCCAGCCTACGCCAGGGCTGGAGCTTGTGGTGGCTGCTTGGGCTCCAGCTCCAGGAAGCAGCTGGACTGGAGGAGCCTTCACCTTGTGACCTCACCTTTAGTTCCCAGAAACCTTGGAAACCTTCCCTGATCTCAGTTTCTTACTATGACCCTACATTGTCCTGGGCCTGGTAGAGTCCAGCAGTTACATGCTGGGACCTTGTGCCTCAGTTTCCCATTCTGTGACATGGAGACAACACTACGCCTGACACAGTGTTGTTAGGATTCAATGAAGAAAATGCATGGCACTTGGCACACAGTTAATGTTCTGTAACTGAAGCTACTGTCCCCTCCTTCCTGCCAACAAATGCGTGCTCCAGCAGCACTCTTGGGACAAATGACAGGGCAAGGTTTCCCTGTCTACTTGACAATTCCTTGGGTGCTGTGAAGTTGTGTGAACTCTGGGACCGGAAGCAGTCGCCATGCAGCTTTGCTGGGTGCTGGCCTGTTTCTTCCTGGGGTTACACCTCCTCCTCTTGAGACCTCCCCTCACCAACCTGCACATGCTGGACTTCCGGGAGCTGGAGCTGCTAGGTGAAGAGGGTGGGGTCTGGTAGGACCAGCTGTAGTCTGAGCCCTTCAGGTCTTTGATCACCTGCACAGGGACATGGATGGGGGTCACTAGGCTAGTGGCAGTCTCTAACCTGCACACAGCCTTCTCATTACTCTCAGAGTCTCCGTTTCCTCCTGCGTCTCAGGCACCATCAGGAAGCTTCAATGTGGTGCCCTGTGGAAAGGGCTCAGCAAGGTGCTGGACACACAGGAAGTGCCTACAAGCACAATGCCATGTGGGCTGTGCAGTGGGAGCAGTGGATGGTGAAGTAGATAGGTGTGCTTGGGTCTAGGGTAGGTAGGCGACAGCGTTTCTGGGTGTGGGCGGCAGCCAGGCATGACCAGGTTTGGAAAGGCCAGGCCCCAGGAATCTGATCTGGGATTTCCACCCATCTGCTCTCCATCCGGGACCTCTGTGGGGCCCTGGGCAGTTACCCCTCACCTGGGCAGGTGCTCCTGGATGCACCACAGTGGCTGCTGGATGGTATCTGGTCTCTTCTCCCATCTGCCCCCCTTCTCTCCTCTATGGACCCCAGCTGAGGGTAGGACCGCCCGCTCCCTGGCCCTTGGCCCCAGGGCTCACCGCACCTGCTCGCTGGCGGGAGGCAGCTTGTGGGGTTCCGCGGTCAGCACCACCAGGTCGTCAATGATGCCCTGCAGGTGGGTGATCTCTCCCAGCATGGTCAGCTCACCGTTCTGAGGAAGCGGCCAGGAAGACCTGATGATTCTGTTGCCTACCTGCTGCCTGACCTGCTCAGGTTTCTCCCCTTACCCTACCCTGCTAACAGTGTTTCCGGGGCTGGCAAGACCACTCGTCCATATCAAAGAGGTGCACGATGAGCTAGGAGGCCTGATTCGGGGCCAGGAGCATGTGGCCCTGGATACAACTAGTCAGGGATCACAGACCATGTCCCCAGAGGTCAAGAGGTCTCCCCTGGACCTGCACCACCCTGCTGAGTCCCCTGGGGACCCACCACCACAGGCTGCAGGAAGGTGATGAAGGTGCAGAAGCGGCCTCGCTCCTCGATGAGGGCCCGGCGCACTGCCTGTTTCTCCGTCTCCTCCAGCAGCAGGTACATGTCGTTGACGTCCTGCAGGGCACTGTCCAGCTGGGGCTGCAGGTCTCCTTTCCCTGGGGGGTGTGGAGGGATGCTGTGCTGGGGATGCCAGCCTTGTCTGCTGCACCCATGGCACTGGCCCCCATGATGGCGTCCCTGGCCATGGGGCTGGGCACTACCATGGGAACCAGGGGACTGGGGAAGGTGGGCCGTGGGGCTAGTGGAAGGGCTGGTCCCACCAGAGCAGGCAGAGAAGACAGACAAGCACGCACAGGAAAGACACCAACGCTGCGAAGCCACAGGATCTGGGGTGGGCAGGGCCATGGAGGCCTCCCCTGCCCAGGCCACCCTTGCTGCCCTTGCTGCCCTGGGATGGGGCCCCTCGCCTCATGGGGCACAAGGAAGTGGCTTGGAAGCAGGGGCAAGTAGAGCAGGATAGTGGCTCAGCTACAGGCCAGACCCCACAAGACGTGTGGGGGTCAGGAGGGCTCGGAGCTGGGCCCAGGGAGTGGGTATGAGGCAGTTTCAGCGTGGGCCCCCACCGAGCTCAGGGAGCAACGCACAAGGACACAACAGCGACACAAAGAGGCAGCGAGAGAGACAGAGAAAGGCAAGAGGATGATGTGGAGAGATGGTGAGGGAAGCAGGAAGTAATAGGTAAGGAGCTGGCTGGCCTGGCAGGGACAGGGGCCTCCCACCCTGCCCAGCCCAGCCAGCCAACCCCTCCTGGCCTGGCAGACTGACCCAGCAGTGGCCTGGGACTCATCCCTGGCCAGGGGGGGATGGTGCCCCAGGCCCCTCCCTCGGTGCACGGACTGCCTTCCTTGCTCCTCCTTGGCCTGGAGGGGTTCCTTCCAAGGGCCCTGAGCTGAGGGGAGACAGACAAATGCGACAAGGAGAGGAGGAGCAGCTGGAGGGACGGACATTTGACTTACCAAGTAGCTCTACAGGAAGGATGTGGGAGGAGGAGAGGAGGAGAGACAGAGAAAGAAAGAATGTGTGAAAGACAGCCAGATGGACAGTGCCACTCCTGGGGTGGGGTGGGGCCTGGGGGCCTCCTGCTGCCTCCCCGAGGGAGGGCCTGGGCTGGGCTGGGGCGCAGGGTGGCTCCCTCTGTCCCACCCTTCAGGCTGGAGGTTTTCGTGTTGGGGATGGGGGCTCCTCCGGCCGCGATGACACCCTGGAGGTGCCCACCAGGCAGCCGGGGCTCTGGAGTGGGGCCCGCAGGGCGGGGCCTCAGTGGGGCGCTCTGGGCTCTACCTTTGCGTGCTTTCTTCTGCAGCTTCAGCGTGTCTGAGGACTTCTTCTTGATCTCGTGCCGGGCTCGTTTGTACTCTGTGCAGGGAGGGGGTAGAGAAGAAGTATAAATTTGGGTGTGGTGGTGCACACTTGTAATCCCAGCACTCGGATCACTGATAGTTGGAGGCCAGCCTGAGCTACACAGAGAGAAACTATCTCAAAAGACAAAAATGACAAACAAGAAAAGAGGCTGTAATAGGAGTCCCCGTGGGGTGGGGAACCCGGGTGAGGGCTTGTCCTACCTTTCGCGTGGTCCTTGTCCAGCTGGTTGGCCGACTTTTTCCAGTCCTCGATGCGCTCCTGCAGCGGGTTGATGAGGCTCTCCAGCAGCGCGCTGTGGGCGGGACTGGGGTCAGGCTGCGGAGAGGAGATCTCAGGGGCACAGGACGCCCCCCACTCGCTCGCCACGCCTACTCACTTGGTGAACTGCCGCAGCTTGGTCTCGATGCTGCGGTGGCGCATGCACATGCGCGTGAGCGCCGAGCCGATGTCCCGCGTGGCCCCTGGTGAGGCAAGCGCAGTTTGGGCTTGGGCCCGCGGCCTCCGCAGTCCCCTCTGTGGCCACGAGGGGGCACCCTGGCCCGCAAAGACCTCAGCCCATAATCAGCGCCACCACCTGGCAAACCTGCAGGGCCCTGACCCGGGACACGAGAACCAGCCGCGTGCCCCGCTGGTCAGGATGGAGCCTCCCATCTGCCCCAGCTGGGAGAGGCCTGCACCGAGGGTTGCCCAAGGAACAGTCAGGAAAATTCCCGGCCAGTCCCGCGGGAGCCCCTCCAGGCGCGCCCAGATGCGGGCATAAGGGGGCCTGCACGCGCCTGCCAGGCGTTCTCAACACCCCAAGGACCAGGAGCCCAGGTCCTCAGGGGATGAGTGAGAAAAGGCCGAGACTTACCATACAGAAGGGCGAAGGACCGTGCTGAGGGGTCACCTGAGCTGCCCACAGCACTGAAGCAAGCCCCACAGTCCAACATTCCTGCCACCGCTCCCACTCCTGCCTGCATGCCTCCTGTGACCGGGGCTCACTGTCCCCACAGCCCACTCCATCGGGGGCGGAGCCCGAGGTCTCCACTCGGGGCCTGGCACCCTTTCCCTGGCCCACGCTCCACTCAGTCTGCCCACCGCCAGCCCGCCCTGGGCATCCCGGCCAGCCGTGACCCTGCCCACCTCGGGTGTTGGTGGCCATGTCAGCCACTTTCTGGAAGGCATCCAGGAAGGCCACAGCAGCCAGCACAGTGGTCCTGGGGAGACGCACAGTTGGGGGCTGGTCAGAGGGTGAGGGATCCTTTCTTGCCCGCCCCTCCCCAGTGGGGGGCCCTGCGCAGCCTCACCTCAACTGAGAATGTAGCTTCGTGGCCTTGGAGTTGAAGTCCTCCCAGATGGGGTAGGAGCTCTGCCGGGGAAGGGGGAGAGGAAGTGAGGTGTTTTTGAGGGGTGCTGCAGGGTGCTGGGCTCCCCACATGTTGTCCAGACTTGGGGCAGCTTTTTTGTTTTTTGAGACAGGATCTTGCTATGTCAGGCTGGTCTCAAACTTATGGTGACCCTCCTGCTTCAGTCTCCTGAGTGCTGGGATTACAGGCTGCACTGCCAGGCTTTGGGGCAGTTTCCAAGAGTGGTCGTGGCCTAGGGGACAGGAGGCTCCTGTGCTGTCAGGTAGGACAGAGGTTTGAGGACAGGGCACCAGCTATGAGGGAGGCTTGGCCTTTGCTCATCCCTCCCGTTGTGGTGCTCAGGAAGTCAGTCAGCGACCGCACGCCCCCGTCCTCCCTCGGGACATGGAAGCAGCAGATGGCAGGTCCTGTGTCCTGGGCCCTCTGGGGGTCTGGCAGGGATCTGAGCACCATGTCCCCTGCCCACCTTGGAGGCAGAAGCTCCCATGGAGGCTGGCAGGGCTCACAGCAGCCAGGCTGGTAGGGGCCCCGGAAGCTGCTGCTGGCCGGCAACCATCCCAGGCCAGTGGCAGTGGCTCCCAGGCCAGGGGAGGCCGGGGCTGCTGCAGGGCCTGGCCAGCCTGCCCCGGACAACCAGCCCTGGGGCTGAATGGGGCCTTGTGTGGGCAACAGAGCCACCTCTCTCCACCCCCCTGCTCCCCTCCCCTCCAGGGGAAACAGTGTGGCCTTTATCCTGGCCCAGGGCTCCTCGAGGGGAGGGGGTTTCCCAGTAGGGAAGTCGGGATCCTGGCGACCAAGTGGTCCAGTCTGATTAAGGGGCTTTTCTGGCTAATGCCTCTTCCGCTGACTCGGGGCCTGGAGGAAGCTTGGCCCTTGGGCTCAGGGTACTGGGGAGGCCTTGCCTTTGAAGGGCAGCCCTGGCGGAAAGGGGTCTTTTCCCCTGCTTGGAGGATGGGCATGGGGAGGGCATGGGCAAGGGAGGGAAGACAGACTGTGCCCCCAAGACCTCAGAGGAGACTCACTTGGCTGCAGCCCCATGGCGGGTTGGGGGGAGCTGGCCACTCCAGGCCGAGTCCAGGGGCAGAAAGGACTCAGGCAGGTTTAGGAACCTCACAAACGCCCTCCCCTCCCAGCCTAGCTCAGCCAGTGTCCAGGGAAAACAAATATTTGAGAAGTGCACCGAGGCTGGAACAAGAGGAGGTGGCTGTGGGTGGGCTGTCCCCATACGGGCAGAGCGTAAACGGGCCTTCGGGGTTGGCCCTGGTGGTCCTGGGAAGCTGACCCAGGTTTTGGCCACCAGGGTCTTCTGAAAGGGGGCGCCCTCCCACCACCTAGACCCCACCCAGCCTGGAAGCTGCTAAGACCGCCCCCAGGGTACCAAGAAAATGTTCTGGGACAGGACACTGGCACAGGACACCCAAGGGGCAGCAGCCTCAGGGTGGTTTCATAGAGAGCTGTCTCCCTCTGAAGGAGAGGGGACTTCTGGGGGGTGGCAGGCCCAGGGATACTTTCCTTGTTCTCCACAGCTCATAAAGGATCCAGAGACCGGGAAGAGAAAGGGCTGGAATGGCCGGTGCCCCAGGGAGGGTATCCTGGCCTTCACCGGGCCTGGGCCCTGGCTGTCGGGTTGAGCAGGAGCCCAGCTCTGTGGCTTACAGTGAATGGCTGGTCCCACAGCACTGACACCACAGGCTGTACGATGAACCCTAGCACTGCCCCCTTTCACTGAGGAGGACATGGAGTCTTGGTGATGATGCTAAGGGACTTGCTAAGGCCATGGGGTGGTGAGGTGGGGTGTCTGAGGGTCAGGGTTAGAGGGATCCCATTTCCAGGATACCAGGAGGCAAGGTCCCCAAGTGGGTGGATGGGACTGACAGGGGCTGCTGTGGCCCAGATGTGGTGTACAGAGGAGCAGCCCAGGCTCCAGCCCCAGAGAGAGGGCCTGCCAGGCAACCCGAGCCTAACTAACTGTCCTCACCTGTACAGTCAGGAGAGGGACCTCACCTACCGACCCGGGTCGAGTGTGGACTCCGTGGGCATTTGGTGCAGGAAAGCACCCAGCACAGGGCCTGGCAGGTGGCACGGGCTTGGTCAGTATAGCTGAGAGCCACAGGCCTGCCTCTTTGGGGAGCTGCTGTGTCTGGGTGACACTGTCGCTCTGGAGGGGAGGCAAGGACTATGAGCCTGTTTTCTGGATGGACCCATGCAGGTCTCTGCTGGGACACTGTGCCCACGCCTGTGGGCCTGGCCAGTCCCTGCCCACTCTGGGTTGAGTAGTCAGTGGTCAACCCCCAGGCTCCTCCCCTCCTCTGGGTGCCCAGGCTCAGGTGTAACTAGGGAGCCCCCTCCTCCCCTCTGCCATCCTCAGCCCAGGGCTGGGGCCCAGGGAGAGCTGCTGCAGGGTCTGGTGGCTCCCATGGGCACACTCAGTCTCATGACCTGGCTGGCCAGCTGGCGGCTGGAAGCTGCCCCTCAAATCCAGCCAACTGGCCTTCAGGTGGCCCAGGCCCGTCTTCTGTCCCTGAACACATGGGTGTCATCAGTAGGGGCAAATCTGTTTGTGGTGTCTCCATACCTGAAGCGCTCCCATTTGCCTCCCACTGCAAGTCCTGCCCATCACCTAGTCAGGGCCTCCCAGTCCAGTCTGAGCCATTGGCCTGGGCCCTACTGGCTTCTCCCTCAGGTTCCTTGCAATTGGCAGGGAGGGAGGGGACCCAGCGAGGATCCCTCCGGGCAGATGCGGCTGCTGCTGCAGTGTATGCTGTGCAGCTGCCAGCGGGAGGACATGTGGGGAGCTCCCACCCTCAGCCAGCAGGGCAATGGCCAGGCGAGGTGGTCCGGGTTGCCAGTGCCAGAAAAGGACCCCGATGCCCGGCCTGTGTGGGCCACAGGATGGACGGAGGCTGCTGAGAGCCGGCAGAAGGGGCCCGCAGGTGGAGGTGCCAGGGATGGAGGTCTCAGGGGAGTGCACCACGGTGGGGCGCCCTCACATGCTGCTCACTGGGCAGTCCCAGTTCAGACCTCCTCTTCCTGTGGGACAGAGATCTGGCAGCTGTCCCTGGGGCTGTCCCCCCACCCTGGCAGTACCGGGAGGGAGCCCCAAGCTCCTGCCTGCCTGCAGCTGTCCACCTCCCAAAGCGCCCGTGTGGAACTCTTGGTGGGTCGCACTGGAGTGTGTGGTGTATACAGGCAGGACTGTGCTGTATACTGGGTGGGGGCTGGGAGGGGGCCCTTGGGGTGCCTGTGGGAACCCAGATTCTTCACCCAGCCTGTGATCTTGGACGGAGGAGAAGGGTAGGAGCGCTGGTTCCTGCCCCCACCCTGTCCCTGGAGCTGGGCCTCTGCTCGCTCGGGGTAGGCAGTCTTGTCAAACCCTGGTCTCTGTGGGAGAGCATTCCCCCACCCAACACCCTCAGATGAACAGTGACAGCTGAAGTCAGGGCAGGGTCCAACATTCTTCTTAATGACCTTGAGCTGTTCCAAGGCCTCAGTTTCCCCACCTGGCAGGTGCGCAGAAATTGGTGGCCTGTTCCTACCTGACCTTGGGTAGTCACCGTAGGGGAGGGAGGCTTGGTGCCAGAGCCCCGGGTGTTGGTGGGGGCAGGAAAAGCGCTCCCATGGGGTTGCGCCTCCAATCCCAACCTTCTCACCGCCTGCATTCCCAGGTGATGATAAGGCCCATTGTCGGGATGCAGGGACACCCAGCCCCGAGACTCCGGAGTCCGGGGTGGCTGCCGAGGGGGGGGGCGGGGCGGGGCAGCTGTCGCAGGGTCCGGCCGCAGCCCGTGGGGGAAGGAGTTAACCGTCTCTGCTTTATTAGCTGTTCCTGCTTCTGTGGGGATAGCTTTGTCTGGGCTCCAGGGTCATCGAGGATTGGGGGGGATTGTGGTGGAAGGAGGGCAGAGGCCGGAGAGACCCCAGACGCGTTCAAGGGCCACAGAGACTCGGCCCTGGAGCCAAATCCCATTCATGGTTGGAGGGTCTGGGCCGCAGAGCGCCCGAGTGTGCGCAGGCTCGTGGCGGCACTGCGCGCGGCGACCCTGGGCACCGCACCGATACCCCAATCCGCGAGCACCCACACCCCCCAGACAGGCACCCCAAGACCTGGGCTCATGGGGGACGCAAGCAGGGCGCGCCGAGACAAGGACGCGCCGCCACCGCAGGGCACGGCCACCCGCCGCCACGCGTCCCCTGAGGACACCGCCGTCCCCGCACCCCCGCGCCCGACCCCGCCGCGCCCCGGTTACCTTCATGTCATTGACGATGGCCTGGAAGAGCCCGCCCAGGGCGCCGCACTCCTTCTCCGCCGTCTCCATGCTCGGGCCGGGCGGGCCGCAGCGCGGGGCGCGCAGGGGCGCGGGCGGCGCAGGGCAGGGACCGGGGCCGGGCCGCGGGGCGCTCGCTCTGGGCCTCCGCCAGCAGCCCTGCTCAGCGTCCTGCCGTGCGGCGCTGCGGGGTCGCGGGCCGAGGGCGGGAGGCGCGGGC